AGTGTCATGTTTTTGTCTTTCTCTAAGAGGTTTTGGACAATCTCTTCTATAATGTTCTTTGGATCCACAATTATAACACTCAATTGATTCTTGATACCTGTCTTGAAATACTACCCTTTTGGTCTGTCTGTGTTCTTTGTATGCACTGTAGCGGCTTCTTCTCAAATTATCTTCAGCTATTAATCTATTTGATAAACTTTCTATAGATAGATATCCTAAATTAATTGTATCCAAATGTGATATGTAATTATCCCATGATGAGTCTAATGAATTAATGATAACGCTTTTCATTGTCTGATCAGATATTATTTCTCCCCTTAAATGAAGTTCTGCTCTAGTTGTGTTTAGTGATAGTAAATGTTCACTTACAGTAATTCCAGGTTTTATCCTGGCTGAGAAGAAATTTTTAGACATTCTCGTTGTGGTTGCCACACTTTCACTATGAAACAATTTAAACATACAATGAATTATTTCTGAGACAGTTAGATTATGCTTAATACTATGATAGATAGCAGGTGATATGCTAGATATTAGTAAATAGAATGCTCTATGGTGTAGGCAGTCCAATTTTAGGGTCCATGGTTTTTTAGGAGGGTTAGTTATGAAAAATAATAAATTCTCTTTTAAGAAAACAACCTGGAGTTGTTGACTCCATTCCTGTAAATTAATACCGTCTATTCTCAATTTTGGAAAATCATTAGGCAAGTTTCCAATGTTATTTGTTGCATTACTTACAACTGGAGGCTGTCCATGGTCTTGTAGATGCTGGTAATTGCAGAATGGTGTAGGTATACTCGCGATTAGTCTGAATTGTTCTCTCTGTTCTTCATTGTCTCTATATTCATCTGGGTGTGTTTGTGCATGCGCGTTGTTCATTTCGTTCCTGAAGCTGTCGGAAGAGGTTCTCGTCGCTGTAGCTCCCTCGTAGTGTTCTTCCTCTGATGATTCGCTCTCTGGTTCGACTTTAGGTGTCCGGGTGATGATCGGGGCTTGCTTCTCTCCATCGAAGTCGTCTTGGTTGAGGCCTCTGGCTCCCGGAAGCGTTTGTGGTGTGGGCGAGTACTTGCAAGGCTCTCTGGGTTCAGGCGTTGGTGTTCTTGTTGTTCGGGTTGAAGTGGATAGATGCAGAGACGTTTGCTTGCTTGCTTCTGCATCTTTGCTTTTGGATTGTGCTGCTTGTCTTTTCTTCGCTGTTTGATCGGCTGTCTTTGGTGTCTTCATCGATTTCTTTGATATTTTTAAATTCGGACCGAAAGTTGCAAAAAGTGTTTTCATAGCTGTTTTGATTTGTAGTTCATTTGGTGCTTCTTCGGTGTCTGTATCAGATTCTTCTGAAGAATAGAATTTTTCTTTTTTATTTTTCACGTTGTGTAAAGCTTTTTGCGCCAGCCATTTTGAACTCTGCTTTCTGATTGGTTCTGATTTGGCCATTTTGCTGGTCTGGTGAAACCAAGATGGCTGCCATTCAAAATTTTGCGTGGGACCGTTAGTCTTTCTTTTAGTTACACTCTCATCTATAGGTAATTCGCTTACCATTTTGAGATCTTTAGATTCTGGTGCGTTGGTGTGGTTTTCTCTCGCTGCTCCGCTATCTTTTATGATGTCTTGGAGATTCGCGATGAGATTTTTGTCGTCTTTTTGGCTTTTCCGCAGTCTTAGTATTTCTGATCTGAGAGTGTTGTTTTCTATCTCGCTCGCTTCTTGGTCGTCGGGTTCATCGATTACCTCTTTGTTGTCTGTAGTGAAGTCTTCAGATTCTCTTCCCATTATAGTTGTAGATTCATCTATCATTTCTTGATCTGTTTCCATTTCTTTGTTGTGTGCCCTGGTGTTGGGTCTTTCTCTTTTGTTTCTGAAGTTTTCTTTCTTTGGCATGTCTGTTTCTTATTGAGTCAGCCAACCATCCTCTGCTACCAGATTGTTGCCGTAATTCGAGGATCGGACTCAATAAAGAATTCAGAATTACAGTATTCAAACAAAGTATTGTTTATTTACAGCAGGCATTCTATATTCACTGAGTGATTGTAGGTAGAAGCAAGTAGGAGGAGTATGCGTCCCCTTTTATATCATTGAGGCGGGGTTAGAAGGTAGGAGTGGTTACAGAGGAATACATTAGGGAAGAAAGAATAAATTAACCCTTAGTACTCTATGAACATATGTCTCTTTCATTTAAGAATAAGGCATTTATCCATGACAGTCTTACATCACAACATGAAGCTATTGGCATAAACTCACTGTGTATAGTAGCTCAACTATATGTAACCATCTAATTGTGACATAGTCCAGTACATAACTTGCCACTCTTTCCATTAAGACAAGATAGATGATTTTGTCTAATGCTTTGCTAAAGTCCAGCCCCAAGGTCAACTAAACTGTTCACTCTATCAAAAAAGGAGATTGGTTCAGAGGAAATCAGCTTGATTTGACAGGACTCACATCCATGCTCGCTCCTTCCAAGCCACACTTTCTTCTCAGTTGTTTCCAAAATAGAAATAATGTTTCCAGGTTAATATGGAGAAAGGATAATAGAAATTATTATTGAAGCAATCAGATGCTTTCCAGTGTATATTTTGTCTGAATTCCTCAATAAGTCCCATTTGAGTAGTTCTGCTATTTCCTATTAAATACAAGTTGATCCCAACTTTCTAACTATTTGAGGTAAAAGACCTCAAGACTTAAAAGAATTAAGCTAATGTCTCCCAGCCAGTTGCCTTCTAGTTATCTAGACAATGTTACAATAAAATGTATAGGATGGTTTGCACAAATAAAGAAATTAAATTTGGAAATGTGAAAAGAGTGATATATGATGGAAATAAAACATGAATAGTTCAATTTTTATCAGTAAGACAAGATTGTGTGGTATCCCTTGGTTTTATTAATGTATTTATGGATACATAAAGTATAAGGTGAGTATGAGTATAAGGAATGCTCATGGTACAGGTTGGCTAGTTAAGATGTTAACATGTATGCAATTTTTGTGAGAAACATTTCCATATTACTGGCTATGAACCAAAAATCATTTGCAATAAATATGTATGTTGCAGCATGGATTAGAAAATTAATATATTTAAAACCAAGTTAGTGTGTTCGATAGGAGTAATTCAGTTAGTGCTTGCATATTATGCATAATTTTAAAAAAACGAAACAGAAAAAATAAATTTGCAAACCTTAGCAGTATGTTTACGAAAGATATAAAATTAAGATGTTCAAATACTGAAAAAAGGGTAGTGGATAGTATATGTGTGTTGTTAGTAATGAATAACTGTTAAAAGAAGCAAAAATAGAAATGAATGCATGAATGCATGCCAGGCATAGCTATAGAGATAAGTAGACAAATGACAAACATATGCACAATGATAGCCTCATGCAAGAGGCACAATGGTCATGTTTGCCTTAGACATAGTATTTGCATGAGGATGCCATCCCACTCATGTCATGTCATGATTTGTTACAAATGTCACTGCAAGTTTCTGTCAAGTTTGTTATCTGGATACTTCAGGAGAAACATACACGCCAGTCGAATACTGTAGGAATGGGAACAGAGCGTCAAGAACAAAGAGTAATGAAATAATGTGGACTGAGAATCAAAGTGAGTGATCGATAGAAAGAAGTGTATGGAGATGGTTGGGTTACTGAATGAGAGTCAAATATGAAGGAACAGTTGCAAGGAATAGAAAGACTAAAAAAGTCACAACTGAACTAAATTGGTGAGATGCTCAGAGAAGTTAGCAGTTTAAAGAACAAAGTTAATGTATGAATTAAAATATGGATATGGAACAAGATCCAGTTTTGGTCACCACATTATAAAAAAGATACTCTGGAAAGAGTGCAGAAAGGAGCAATAAAGATGACTAGGGGCTTGAAGACTAAAAATTATGAAGAATGGTAGCACAATTGGGCATGGCTAGTCTAGAGAAAAGGAGAACTAGGGGTGACATGATAGCAGTACCCCAATATTTGAGGGGTTGTCACAAAGAATGGGGGGAGGGGGTGTTCAACCTATTTTCCAAAGTACCAGAAGCCAAGAAAAGAAACAATGGATGGAGACTAATCAAGGAGAGAAGCAACCAAGAACTAAGGAGAAATTGTGGGTTCTTCTGTTATATGTCCCCATTTAACTAAGTCATTTGTGAGTGCTTCATCACTGGAGACTTTTTAAAAGAGACCGGCCAGCCAACTTGTCCAAAACGAACAGGGGGTTGGACTAGAAGATCTCCAAGATCCCTTCCAACTCTATTATTCTGTATTCTGTCTGCAAGAATGGAGAGATACACAGTGATAGAATGAAAGATATACAGTCAATTATATTCAAATTTCCTTACCTCCTGCTTCTGATTTCTTTGATTTATTATTTCTATTCTTTGTCTTCTCTTTGTATAATTGATGATTGTATGATTGATGCCCAATATTTGGAGGAATACATATCAAACCCAAAATTGTACCAAGCAATATGTCATTTGACTTTCTATGGTTAAAACTAGATAGTGTAATAATAAGTGAACATACAATTTTTGGAAAGCTTTTCATTACATGTCATGGAATTTTTTAGGTAGCAGTTTGAAAATTATAGAGTTAAAGTTCACTTGATTTGTGGTTTAGATAATATGGTAATGCTTAAACGATAAGCTATTTTTGCAAAGCAGTTTAAAATCTATCTAGTTGACACAGCAGATGGGGAAAAGTTTCTTGTGGGAGGTTAGAAGCTGTATCCTGGTACTTTGTAGAGAGTTGTAATTAATATCTGAATTCACCTCTCTCTTTAACTTTGGCCAACAAACATTTAGTCTTATTGGGCTTTGTTAATTTTTTCCTTAAGCAAAAATTATTTAATGCTGTTTTCATTTAAAACTGCTCTAAGCACAGGGAAATGAAAATAATCAAAAATTTGATAACTCAAAACCAAAAGAGTTTATCCTCATAAACTATGTGTGATAACTGATTAAAGTGTTTTGTTCATGTATTATTTGAAATAAACATTTGGATCTGTTTTTTCCAGGATGGAGTTGAATGATCTCCTCAAATTCCTAGGTAAGGTAAGAATAAATAAAAACAAACAATATATACATTGTCTATGCATTATCTAATGTATATTCTAGGACTTTGAATTTTTACTGTTTTAAATTATTATTTTAATTATGCTTTGAGTGCAGAATATATCATTATGCTTCATATGGTTGTAGATGTTTGCTACTTATTGCTCCTGGCTCTCATTGTTTCCTCCTGGAAAATGCTTTAAACCTGTTTCTCCAGCACAAATCCTATGCTTTATGTTGTTTAAAAATGATTAATGTGTGGATTTCTCACTTTTAACTTGTACCTAGTAATTATTTAATTATATACAGTATTTGTATGTTGCCTTGTGGAAGACTGTCAAGGAATATACAAAGCAATTAAGCAATCATCAAAGCATAAGTGAATAAATAATAATAATAATAATAATAATAATAATAATAATAATAATAAATAATAATAATAATAATAATAATAATAATAAATAATAATAAATAAAGGAGCCTGAGTGGCGCAGCAGACTAATGCTACTGTTAAAGGTAGTATTTAGCTTCCAGCTGCCTGCAATTACTGCGAGTTCAATTCTCACCAGGCTCAAGGTTGACTCAGCCTTCCATCCTTTCTAAGGTAGGTAAAATGAGGACCCGGTTTGTGGGGGCAATAAGCTGACTTTGTATAAAAATATACAAAAGTATGAAGGCTATTGCTTAACGCATTGTAAGCCACCCTGAGTCTCCGGAGAAGGGCGGCATATAAATCAAAATAAAATAAATTAAAAATAAAAATAAATAAATAAATAAATGAGGCCAACTAAAAATATGCTCTGGGTTACCTTTCAGAAAGCAAGGACAGCAAGTATTAATCATAATTTCCCAAGGAATATATTTTATAATTAATACAACAGCCCAAGGATCATTGCAGGTGGCAGTGTTTTCAAATGGGCTCTTCTTAACACTTTAAAGAGAAGTCGGGTATCATAAAGCACCCCGCTCCATAGCTAATATCACTACCTTGAACAGAAATGAGAAAACAATATGGGGTCTATGTAGAGCTTTTAGGAAAGGATGATCCTCGTATTATCAGTTAGTAAATGATTCTATATTTTACATAAGCTGAATCTTTCCTGTGATCTTAGTTTAGGTATGACATAAACAGGATATATATATATATATAACTGTGGGTAAGATTGGTTCAGAACAGCCAACCTGTTCTACTACTATAGTCATGAAAATTTTTGAACATATATATGTATATTAATGAAACATTACAGTAAAGGATAAAAAGAATGTACTTATAATTTAAATGTATGGTTTTAAAAGTCACACCGTAGTTACAGAAACAAAAATAAGGACATAAAAATTAATACAATACTTGCAGATGTCCTATTTTAGCATTATTTAATTACATCAAATTTTTGCTCTGATGCAACAATGAAACTCTTTATTTTTTATACTGTTTTCCTCTGATGAATCTTCCTTTTCTTCATTTTGCACTCACAAAGATTAGCATTTCAAGTACACCTGTGCTGGCCTCAATTGTGCATATACTTCCCTCACATTAACTGACTTTAAATTGCATTAAATGTGGCCTGGTATCAATTTACAATTTGCATTATCTAATATTGCATTATTCAAAGTTGCACTAATTGCAACCTACTTGTATAAGTATAGCTTTTATTCTTGCTACCGTTTCAAACTTGAAGAATAAGATCAATGAATTTTCTTTAACTATGAACCAATATTTCCAATATAAATCAAATGTCAATTCTTGAGACAGACTGTCTTCTGACTGCTGTTTAATCTTATTAACTTTCATCGAGCCCATTATTCAACCCACTGTTTAACTTTCAAAGATAACAGCTGCTTCCTTGGAGTAAGCTAATAAGAAATAATATTCCAATATGGCAGTGGAGCATTAAACAAATATCTGTATTCACTATGACTGGTGCCCATTAGAGTGGTGGAGAGAAGGCCAGACATTAGTTTTAGATGAGGCGGGTAAATAAGATTACCAATCTAAGCAGAGAGCTCCCTGGGTTATGAAATAGTCCAGGTCTTCTCTTGAATTTACATTTATTTTCTCCATAGCCTTATTTGTCTATTTAAATAATAACATTATGCAAACGAGGGAGACTACATGGTAACACCTGACAAATCAACAAACCAAAGCAATAAGGAAAGAGGTGGAGACTGTAGTGACTGTATGTATGAGTGTCAGAAATTTGTTTGTATATATTACTTTGTGGATGCCAGACAAGTACAAAGAACAAGTGGGATGGTAAACCTTTAAGCAGAACACAGTCCATCACCTATCTGATTTTGGGTGTTGTAACTGAAGAACTTGCTTTATTTTGCTTTCCTCACTGGTATTTTAGATCAGGGGTCTCCAACCTTGGCAACTTTAAGACTTGTGGACTTCCCCAACATATAGAGTTGGCTCCATATATATTGGATATAATTGATCAATACGGGAAAGTATCAGGATTTAAAGTTAATTCACATAAGACAAAGATGATAATTAAAAATATGTCTATACTTGAAAGAGATAAACTAGCAAGATTTTGAAATAGTTAAAAAGGTTAAATATCTAGGAGTGTACATAGCAGCTTCAAATACAAAATTATATAAAAATAACTATGAGGTTCTTTGGCAGAAGGTACAGAAGGATATGGAGAATTGGAAAAAAATACTGTTGTCTTTATTGGGAAGAATTGCAGCAATTAAAATGAATGTGTTACCTAGATTTTTATTTTTGTTTCAAATGATACCTGTGCTTAAGAAAGATGAAAATCTGAGAGAATGGCAGAAAGGTGTTAATACTTTCATTTGGACTGAGAAAAAACCCAGAATAAAAATGAAAATTATACAAGATACACGTGAAAGAGGGGGTTCAAAATGCCTAATTTAAGATTATATTATGAAGCAGCGGTCTTATCACAAATTAGTGACTGGTTAACTGAGGGGAGAATTTTGAATCTAGAAGGTTATGATTTGTTATATGGATGGCATGCCTATTTGTTATATGACAAAAAAGTGGATAAAGTATTTAAGGCTCATATACTTAGAAATGCTTTGTTGAGGGTTTGGAAAAAATATCAATATAAGTTAAATTATAAAATACCTGTATGGGCAAATCCTAGACATGCAATAGAAAATATAAGTATAGAACAAAAACAGGAGGTGATTACCTATAAAGAGCTTCTTATTATGGAAAGGGGGGTAATGTATCTGAAACCTTTAGATACATTGAGAGAAGAAGGTATAATTTATACATGGTTTCAGTACGGTCAACTTCAAGCTAGATGGAAGAAAGATCAAAAAACTGGCTTCGTGCAAAATGAGGAGAATTTGGTGAAACAAATTAGAGATCAAAAACAAATGCATATTAAAAGGTTGTATAATGCTTTATTGGAAATAGACTCTGAGACGGAACTGGTTAAAGATTGTATGATTAAATGGGCACAAAACTTTCAAGAGCCAGTAATGATGGAGACTTGGGAAAAGATTTGGATTAGAAATGTGAAATTTACACAAGCACAAAATTTAAGAGAAAATTTTTATAAAATGTTTTATAGATGGCACTTAGATCCCAAAAAATTATCATGTATGTATCCTAATGTGCAAGCTAAATGTTGGAGATGTGACTGTGATGATGCAACTTATTATCATATATGGTGGACTTGTAGAAAAATCAAAGCATTTTGGATAAAGATCTGGTGGGTGATGCAGAATATTTTTTAAAAAAGACTGAAATTTACTCCACAGTTGTTCTTATTGGGTATAACTACGGACTGTACAGTTGCAGAGACTAAACTGATTTTGAACTTGATAACAGCAGCAAGATTGTTGATAGCACAACATTGGAAGAAGGACTTTTTGCCTACTATTGATGACTGGATGTTGAAAGTAACTAATTTAGCTGAAATGGCTAAAATTTCAGCATATTTGAAGGATCACACACAAGAAAGGTATATACAGGACTGGAGAAGATGGATTGATTATATACAAAATAAGTATCAGACCAAAAAATATCAAATAGCTTATGAATGATTTCTTTTATCTGTATAAGCGCTATATAAGTGATATTAGAAGTTTTATGTCTAAGAAGCAGGATTTTATCTATGGGGGGTTAAGAATTTTTTTTTAGGGGGTGATAGTTTAATGATTGGTTAAGCAATTTAGTTTATTGTTAAAAGTTAATAGAAATACCTTGTGTTCTGCTCTGGGAAGTCGGGGAGGGGGAGGGGGGCTGGGTGGGAGGGTTGTGGGGAAATTGTGTTTGTTTTAAAACTTTTTCAATTAAAAAAAAAAAGACTTGTGGACTTCAACTCCCAGAGTTCCTCAGCCAGCTTTGCTGGGAGTTGAAGTCCACAAGTCTTAAAGTTGCCAAGGTTGGAAACCCCTGTTTTAGATAGTAGTTCTGGATGGCGATTTACAGCTGTGGATTTAGAGCTGCATTCTTTGAAGTATCATATTGATTTGAAAGGAAATTGCAGATCACTCTACTCATTATGTGGAATGGATTATTGTTTTTTATCTGGCCGCTATCCTAATTTGTGGACCAAGCTTCAACAATCGCTAAGTTGGGTGGGGAATTCTGGGAACAAAAGTCACCACCTTGGGAAGGCCCTTAGGTTAGGAAAGGTAACCTAAAAGTCTGCCAAAATTATCACATTATTTGTCAACCTATTATAAAACTGTTGTAATAATTCAACATATTGAAACAAGCAAGAGTTGCCTAATGTTTCTTTTTCTCCCAAAGGTGAATTGAGGAAGCTTTTGCTCTTTTTGTCCATTGCTTGCTTCACAGTGGGTAAGTTTTTATTCATTTAAAATATTTTTGATCTAAGAAAGTTTAGACTGATTTATCACTTAACTGTGTTGAATAATAATTAAAAAACAAAAAGGTTTGGATTAAAGTTGGTTATTCAATAAAAGACCTTTTTTAGTGAAGCAGCTGTAAGAAAATGTATACTGTAAACATCTTTCCAACTCTTTTCCAGCAAAATAAATCCATGTGACTAGTTATTTTACTTTACTTATTTAAATTCTATCTTTTCTCAATAGGCGCTAGTCAATAGGATGTATATAGCAATTCCATTAATAAAAATACTAGAAAATCATGAAAATATTAGTCATAATATGTTTTTGAGATAACTAAAGGAAGACATATGGTGTTAGGAATTCAGTCCAAATAACCTAAACATGGTAGGTAGGATAATTGATAGAGCCCTCATTCTGTAGGACATGATGGGTTCAGTCTTCCTGGGAATATTTCTCAATTTCATTAAGCAAGTCATAACTTGCTAGTTATGTTATTGTCCATTCTTCAGATTTAAGCTGCTTTAGATGTTCCAATCTTGCTTTTCTTTTAGTGATTAATTGACCCATACTCTCCAAAGATTAGGCATGAGTGCCTTCTAGTGGCTGCTGGTTATTTCCAACTTATTTCTTTTTATTTTCTCCACAGAGTCTGCCTTTAAATGCTTTTTACCCAACAAAGGTAAATGCCAACCCTATCACTTGGATCTTCTTTTTCTTGCTAAGGTTTCTCCCACTGTTCTCCTGGCATTGGAGCTGAGACTGCTATGTATGTAAGCCCTTGTGCCGCTAAAAACATTTGTGTAATGAAGAGATACCTTTTCTCTGCCTGCATTTTAATCTAAATTGATCGAAATCATACTTGCCAAATTAATTAAGAAATGAAAAGGCAAATCTTTGTATTTACTATTTAAATGTGGTCTGCACCTGGATTCAAACACTCTGTAAAAATTGTGGATTAAACAGAACAGAAAGTATTGATGCTTTTGAAATTTGCCGTTGGAGGAGGTTCCCAGGAATACAGAGGACAACAAACAAAGGTATCCCTGAACAAATCAACCCAGAGTTCTTATTCAAGTCACAAAATTCAAATTATCCTATTTAGACACACTATGCAAAGATCTGTTTCTCTAAAAAGGGCTCTAATGCTGAGAAAGGTAAAAGGAAAGAGAAAGAGAGGATACAGCAAGGTGGATGTCCTTAATTACAGTAAATCAAGGGTGCACTGTTCAAAGGCCAGAAAGCTTTAGGTTAAGGACCAATGATCATGGAGCAGATCTATTTGTGTGATTGCTAAGAGTCAATGAATTAATGGCACATAGTCAAGGGTGAGAAAGTGAGCAATGTGAAAATAAGTCAAGGAAAGCATTCATAATTTTAAAAGATTAGAAAAATGTCATCAATTTTTCATATCCATATTTTTTCCCCCTGTTCTCTCATAGGTGTTTCCGGTTGCGACTATTCTTTGTGCAAATTTCAACCAGGTGAATATCTTTGCTTACCAGTACCTGCATATGCCCCAGTCTCATGTGCCAATATCTGCATATGCTTCCCATTTTCTCCTTAATTACAACTTCAGGTGCAGGTTGCCAACTAAAAAACTTGAAACTTCTCTCCAATTGACTCTATCTGCCCTTTTAAGATCACCCTGGGGGAGTGGGGTGGGTGGGTGGACGGGGGGGTGTATTGATTAAAGAAAACCACTTTTGGGGGGATCCAGGAAGGGTGCCTTTTCTGTCATGCAAATTCACCATGCAAATTCAGAATGGCCCTGACCCTGTTTGCCTTTCAGAAAGTCTTTAAGATCTGGCTGTTTGCCCATGCACCGGGGTCAGAAAGTAAATGAAATTCAGGGGAGTAGTTGTTGCTTTTACTCTTCACTGCTTCTTTTGTTTGCTTGTTTTGGTTATGTTTTGTGTGTTTTCTGAAGTTATTTACAGTGCTGTTTTTAAAACTTGAAACTTTGTTCACTGCCCAGAATTGCTTTGTCAAGATGAACAGCCATAATATTGAATAAAATAAATAAATAAAATTATTTAGATAACAGACATTATTAAATTCCACACAACACTCCAATATGGAAGTTATTCTGGAGCATTACGGGAATGCAACATGGCAGTTCCCCAATTCGAATGATATAAATACAAGTGCTCCTGGGTAAATGAATTGGGAGAAACACACTAATATTGAACACAATTTATCAGAAATAGAGGTCAAATGTTCTCACTGCTTAAGTGAGAATCTGAAGTGGTTGTTTCACCTGCCAGCCATAAAGAAACTATTTGGTCTCTCTAATTATTACCAAAATAGAAAAAGACCAGCAGCTATATGCAGATCATTTTGGAACACACTGGGTTAATAGGCAATTAATTTGCAGGAAGTACAAACTTGAATCTTGTGGTTTTGTAGTAGAAAATAACAAAGATTAAAATCTCTGATCCTCTCACACTATATTCATGTACTCCATCTTTTAATAAAAAAATGTGAAGCAGTTCTCAGAAGTCATCCTCTGCTTCTATTTTTAAAATACTGTAAAGTAGTGGCTATAATGCTAAATTCTGCAGTTTTATTCGGAAATTTAAAAATTATTATAATCTCGAGGGTCAAAAAGACAATGGGTCCAAACCTAACATCATCTCTATTTTAATTATACAATCACAGAGCAGGTTACTTCCACAGCAATAACTTTTTCACTTTCCAAACCTTTATAAAAAAGTGTGAAGTCTTTGTATTTCCACCAGCACTGAAACACAGAAAACATATAAAGAATATTCTGGAGAACTGGAGAATTCAAAACATCTAAATACTGTCCCTATCAGTACACTTTCCCGGTACCGCTTACCTTATTTGCCAGAGGAAAGGATCATTGTAATCAGCATATAATAATGTAGGCTGGCAACCCCCAGGGGGAGGGCCTTCTCTGTGGGGGCACCTATCCTCTGGAATAAGCTGCCTCCTGAGATAAGGAGGATCCAAGACCTCGGTGCCTTCCGCCGTGCCCTTAAAACTTTCTTTTTTCAGCAAGCTGGGCTGGCTTAACATATTCTTTTTAATATTTTTAAATTCTTAATTAGTTTGTTATCTTAAATTGGGGCCAAATTAATATATATCCTTTTAATTGTTTTTAATGTTTGTATTGTATGTTTTTATCTGTCTGTACACCGCCCTGAGTCCCTCGGGAGAAGGTGCGGTATATAAATTCGAGATAAAATAAAATAAATAAATATATACGGTCTCTGCCTGAACCGGGCCCAGAATGCAGGGATGTCGTCAATGATGGACATATCTTGATCCTCTGATTCATAAGCTGCACTGGTTGGCCTGGATTCTTGAGGGATCACCTGTCTCCCATAGCATCTGCCTGCTTGGTTCAATATGACATGATTGGCATGCTCAAGTTTCCATCGATTGAACAGTGCCATCTGTTGGCATTCTGAAAGCTCCTTTTCTCCGTAATAGCACATGCCCTCTGGAATGAAGTTCTCCCAAATCTCAAGCAACTCCCACCCTGCTGGTATTTTTAAGGATCCTTTGGAGGAGACAGTTGATGCCTCTTTTCTCCATTCTATTCCCATCTGGGTTTGTTTTCTTTGCCATCGTTTTTTTTTTTGGTGCACCCTGTTTTTGGGGGGAGGGTGTTGCATTTTAATTTTAATCGTTTTAAATCATTGTAAACCATCCAGAGTCTCTAGGAGTTAGTCAGTATATAAGTGGAAGGACTGGGAGAAGGAGGAGGGTGGGAGTAATAGTAGTTTTGGTATGATTTCAAATGCACCAAACTACAGTCATATATAAACCAACTTAAAAACATTCAACACCATCTGATTTAGATGGACATCCACATGGGGCAAGTGACAAAACATGACACAAAACTGTGGTCCAAATCCACCCCTTGCATACCTGCACATAATATCATAATGCACGTATGGAAGGTTGAAACTGGTATGGTGATTTCACAGGATAAATTTCATTATTTGGGTTTTATTTGGCTATCAGTCTAACATTGATCCTGCTGTATTACAAAGTCCTTGTGAATAAGTACTCATAATCAGAAGCTAATGCAAACTGCTAATATTATATAAGTAAAATAGGGGGGAAATTAGCGAAAAAAATCTGCCCCCAGATTAAAAGAATATCCCCATCTTATGTCTGTTATGAAAGGTTAAAAATAAAGTGCCATATTGTATGGAACATATATGGTGGATAACCGTAATAACATTTTTCCAAACTATAATTAAAGGGAAAGTCAATAGCTAAGCCTTGTTTATGCCAGACTAACGTAAGTACAGTAATAATTTATTATACAGAAAAACCAGAAGTCCTGGAATGGTTCTAATAAAGTTTGTGATCTCTTTCCTTTCTTTGGAGTTAGCCCCAGTGAGCAAAACTGCTTTCTTTCTTTGTTTCTTTAACAGATTGGCAGGATGATATGACTTACTACTATGAGGAAATTTCTGGAGTCCACCTTTTTTGGTCACCACTTTCTAACATATCCAATCCGTTTGCATATACAGTATTTTTAAAATGGTAAGATAGTAAAAAAAATGGCAGGGGGGGATTAGAAAATAGAAGTGGCTATTTCTAATGTATTGAACAAAATACAGCTCAAGAGTTAAATCTGGATAAAACTATTTGCTGATTAATGGTATAATTAGTGAGTCATACTGAAAAAACCACATTGTCGTTCGAATTCATACAATGTAAAAAAAAATCTAGAAATACTGATGCTTTCGTATACTTATGCCTTTATCATTATAAGTTGAACTCTTATCTCTCTGTCATTTTATTTAAAATGTGCTTAAGATCAGCGATTCCCAGTCCCTGGGCGGCAGCCTACTACCAGGCCTTTAGCCCCAAATATCCCCAAATGTATACAATCTATCTGAGTAAATCATATAAATGTTCAGTATGCCAGCATGGCAAGTCACTCACTGAAAATGGCATAGACAGATAGTTCTAAATATGCAGGGTGAGAGAATGAATTTGACAATTTAAAATTCTGGTTTTTGTGGATGAAATCCTGTAAGAATTTAATATAGAAATACACTATATTTATGAATTTGGTTCTTTCTCAGGTTAAGGATTATTTCATTATTTTTTCACTGCCTAATTGTTAAGCAAAAAACTCCTTTTGCCCTCTTTCTTTTAAATTACTCTTGATAATGATAAATTATGGATCTGAAGTCAAGAAGAAAGAGAAAACAAGAAGCACTTTCTTCCCCTTTCAGAATTTATTTCTGCTCAGCGAGAGAAATGGTAGAGAAAGAAACTCATTCCCCTGATTTATAGTCTTCTAGAATCACTGAATTAATGCAGGTAAAAGCATGAATAGGAGAAAGGAAATACTACTCTTTAGAGATGAATCAGAGATCTGATTATCTAGATCAAAAATGGCAGAATTAGAATCTTATTTATTGGGTCACATTCTTTGGATACTTGAAGTTAAGTATCATCTCTCCATATGATCTTCTGTTCTCCAATCTAAGTACTTTGTATTTTTAACTATTCTTGGTGCATTTTTCATTTCAGATCTTCCTTAAAGAACTGATATAGGAAATCTCAAACTAAGTATTTCTAATCACTTAAATCTAATCTTGATAGGTGCACAATAAATCCTTAAGTTCATTTGTTGTTTGTTGTTTCTTGAAGTAATTGACCATTAGAAAAGACAAGCTGGAGTCGATGTTCTACAAGATCTGGATAGTTGTAGTTGCATGACTTTATTATTTATCTATTTATCAAATTTGTACGTTGTCCAACTCTCAATGACTGGGCTTAGAACAACCACCCAAAATGAAATTACAACAAAGCCAAATTTTTAAAAAGGAAAAACTTTTAAAAATGGCAAAAATGACAGACTATATCGAAACAAAGCAAATGGTTTCTCTCTCCCTTGTCAAAGGTCCCTGGGAAAAATCTAATTTGGATCATGCAGAATCATATTGGACCTTAAAACAATTAGTCAATCTTCAGCCTTGCCCGGTTTAGCTGCCACATTCAGTTGTTTATTCAGTTCTTTGCCAAAGCTGAAGGTTTTTAATGCAATTTTTCATTAGAGAGTTTGTCCTTCTGGGTTATTACGTTAAATTGATTTTCCTGTGCTTCTTGCTAAGACAGACAAATCTATCTAATTTTCGTTTAAAACCCTGCAGACAACTCTCTCCATTACTGCTTCTCCCATATGGTGAGGTGACAAGATTAGGCACAAAGGATACCAATGTCATTTCAAGTAATTTGTGGTGGAATGTAGACTGGATTCCCAGAAGGGTGGGGCTGAATTCCAGAGGGCAAAGGACTTTAGATAGTTTGGTTGAGAAAAATAGGGTTAAGACCAGGGGTGGGCTGCTGGGGGTTCGCAGGGGTTCGGGAGAACCTCTAGCTAAGATTCTGTGCAGTTTGGAGAACCCCCAAATCCCACACCTGGCTGGTCCTGCCCCCCTCTCCCCTCCCAGGAGTCCCCACGCCAGTGGTGGGTTGCTACCGGTTCGGTCTGGATCTTGCAAAGTAGTAATGGCGGCGGAAGGCACCCGTTCGGACATCATCACAGACACTGCGCATGCGCAGAAGAGCCGTACGTGCACAGAAGCCCCGCGCATGCGCAGAAACACTGTGCATGTGCGCTCCCATTGTGAACCGGTAGCGAAGGTAAGTGGAACCCACCTCTGCCCCACGCAGCCCATTTTGGATGCAGGTAAGTGCAGGGTGCACGCGGAGGCTTGGGAAGGGCAAAAAACGGGCCTACTGGAAGTTCGGGAAGGCCGGAAACGGTCCCGGAGCCACCTCCATATCACTCATGTTCTTGGTTTTCATCTAATTCTTGTTGATTTTAATCTGTTTATATTTATTTTATTTATTTGTTTATATACATATTTATTATATGTATTGTATTGTACTGCCCAGACAGTGAGATAGGCAACATATAAATTTAATAAATAAATAAAGCAACTAGCAATTCTACATAAACAAACAAAAAAACCTTAAAATGATAAAGCAATTCCATGAACAAATGAAATAAACTTCAAGGACTCCTGATGTTTGAAGTCCAAAATACTACTAAGTTGAAACTTCAATATCTGGGCAATTTGCCCATCAAAATGGGATTTAGGAGGAGAGGGAAAAGTTGCTGAAATTATCTACATGGAGAAGGTGTAACATGTGCAGTAATGGCCTGGGTGCATCTGATATTATAGCCAGAAACATATGATTAAAACATGTTTTTTGTTTTCTCTTTACTTACAGGGCTCCCAACTGTTGTGAGAAGTTAGAAAAAGTTTCATCTCCTATCAATAGAACCCGGAGATACATGCTTAAACATTTTCCTGTGACTATATGGGTAACAGCTAATTATTCCCATGAAAGCTGTGTGACAACAAAGAACATTACAATCGTGCCTAGAAAAATAGGTTAGGCACTTTTACTCACTGTTTACTTGTTTTTTACAAGATTTTTAAATCTTTAATTATCATTGAAATAGTCATTTCTCAGTTATATATTTAACCAGGCACTGAAATGCCATTTGGCTGGAAAGAACCTGATCACATCAAAATATAAGCCAGTGAGGGGTAGAACTTAAAGATCTGAACTAGAATTGCAGAGGCCCAAAATTCATGTTTGTCATCAGCTATGGAAACTGAGTTGGTATCTTAATCTCCAGAGCAATTGGTCACCCCCAGCCTTCTTCAGGGGATTTTTGTGAAGGAAAATTAGAGGAGGAAATGCCCACCATGCCACTATTTGGAAAAGGAGAATAAAAATATATCAAATAGCAGCAATATGTACTGTATATTGCTGATGAATAGAGGAGAACTTATGGCTCAGAGGTTAATACACCTGCCTAACATGCAGGCAGCCCAAGTTTGAATCCAAGTAAGGGTATGGCTAGCTGATGAGAGCTAAATAGTTTGAAATAGATCTATACTAGTCTCCCTTTATTTCTTTATCAGTGAAATATAAATTTGGTATAAAATGGTTTGTCGTGAATGCGACTGCTTGAGGGCTCCTGGATTGGAGCTGAAAGGCGAAAGGGATGCAGTATGCTCCCTTCCACATGCTGGGGTAGACCAGGTGTCTCGATAGAAAAACACTTAAAATATATATACTTTATACATATATAAAGTGTTGGGCAAACAGTCACTTTCTTATTACCATCACTTGAAAAAAACAGTTTTTTTACCTCGTTTATGCACTAAATATTTTAATGCCAATTTGAAATTCGATGCTGCAAAGCATCACGATGAACTTGCTTCCATCACTGGGAAGGCCTCCTGTTTCCTCCATCATCTTTATCAGGGGTGTCAAACTCTCAGCCAGCAGGCCAGATGCGTCATGTGCTGGCCACGCCCACCCCCAGTTTAGCGAAGGGGCAAAAGTTGTGATACGTCACATGACAACAACGTGATGCCGAGAGTTTGACACCCCTGACCTTCATGATTAAAAAGGAAGCCTCCTTTTAACTGATCTTTTATCCTGGTGATTTCGTGGATACTGTACATATATGTAGTTTTCTTCAGAACAGTATGGAAGTGGTTTTCTGCTCACTTCTTCCAGAATGGTGGGGTTTTTTTTTTTAAACTTTTCAACCTAGCCCACACTTTCTGGTGATCGCCCATCAAAGTCACTAAGCACTTTTGACCTTCTCTACTTTTTTTAGAGCAAATCAAGTTGGATATTCCCACCTGCTTAGTGATATCTTACCACCCACCTTTAAAAGTGTGCATTGTGTGGATGCTTGGGTGGTTTTAGGGGTGGGGAATTTTTGGTGGGTGGGAGTGTGTCTGGGGATTGTCATGTGAATTGGGTCTGGTCTCTGGGTTTTATGTGAATTTCATTGTATGGGTATACTGTGTATATACGTACAATGACAATAAACTTTATTTATTATTTATATTTTTTTTATTTATTTATTTATTTATTTATTAAAAATATTTCCTTTGACTAGAGAAGGTGTTTTGGAGCTTGTACAAATCAATGACTTTTGCATTTCTTATATTCTAGAAAAATGCCCTTCACCTTTCAATGTAAACACACAACAATTATTCAATAAGCTAATAATAACATGGGAGTCGCCACAAAATATACTAGAGTATGAATTGCAATACAAGGAAGCAACGCAAAGAACCTCATCCTGGATACCGGTGTGTATTTTCAGTAGATATAATACAGAAGAAAATGTTCTCATTGTCAAAAAAAAAATCTAGATATCCTCCATGTGTTCTTTTTACTGGAGTGAAAGCCAGTTCATTGAAGTTTAATTCTACAGTTCTTTGTTTCTTTCTCTAGCTTGTTAAAAGAGTTTCTACACCTCACATTTCAAAGGAGGCTGTTTGATATCAGATCCTTAGTATCCTTTCATTTTTTTAACTGACCAGAAGTTTCTTTTCTGACATTCAGACACATCCTTCTAAAAGAGATATTATACTTGGCACAAAGGTGCCAAGCCAAATTAAGTAAGCCTTACAGAACAATCCAGAAAGCAGTTGAAGGAGATATACTGTACATATGTTAATGCATTAACAATCAGGGCAAAATGGGAGGGTAGCATCTGGAGAAGAAAGAAGTACACTAGTTCCAGAGTTTATTTATAAATCATATTTACAACACTGTCCAACTCCAGATGCCTTTGGGAAGCAAACAACAATAAAAATTAAGTATAAAAACCATCAGGAAAAAAACCAAGAGTTACCGTATTTTTCGGAGTATAAGACGCACATTTCCCCCCCCCCCAAAAAAAGAGGGCGAAAATCTGGGTGTGTCTTAAACTCTGAATGTAGGCCCACCCAGCTTCTCAAACTGAGGTTTCAGAGACTGAAAAAAGCATCAGAAATGAAGCTTCAGAAAAGAAACCCCCAAACAGAGCTTTAGAGGCTTTTTTTCTGAAGCTCTGTTTCGGAAGCAGGAAAAAAGTTTTTTCTGAAACAGAGTTTCAGAAATTTCAGAAGCAGAAAAAAAAAACAAGGCACAGAGCTCACAACCAAGGAACCTGTTGCTAAAATTCACCTCTGGAAACAGCTGATTGGGAGTAGTCCAGGAGGCTGATCTACCCACCAATCAGTTTTTTTCTTATTTTTCTCCCCAAAAACTAAGGTGCGTCTTATACTCCAGTGCGTCTTATACTCTGAAAAATACGGTAATCTTGAAGGGATTATTTATTTATTTATTTATTACATGTATTTATATGCCGCCATTCTACCGAAGGACTCAGGGTGGCGAACACAAGTTAAGAAACAAGTACAATAAAATCATAATTTAATCCAAATAATTAATTAGTAGTAAATAATAAAGCGCGGAATCAGTCTCAGCCTATTTGTTTGAAAAGCCAAGTCTTCAAGTCCCGATTAACCCAAGTAAAGAGCTATTTTCTCTCATTCTGAATCAGATCTGCCAACTTTTGCTGCTAATAACAACATCAATAATTTGACAACAGAACAATATGCTGAATGAGATTTTTGTATCCATAGCAAAAGGGATGCCTGCATCTTACTTTCTGTTCGAAGGTCTTGGGATGCTGACTAAGGACTACAGCCTAAATGGACACTTCTACAAACAATTAGCTCATATAACAGAGTACCTTATTATTAAATTGAACCAGATTATGTTGCAAGGACACAGTTTTATATTTGTTTACCTAAGAATAAGTCCATTGAACTTAATGGGATCATTTGGGGGTAGTTTAATTTATTTAGGTTTTTTCTCTGTTTCTGTATTGCTTCCTATGCTCAGAGCACCTCGAAACAATGTTTGTAATTTTAAAATGCACGTAGTTAAGATACAAAACTCAATAACGTGAAGTTATAATAATGAAAGCATTCTGTATTAAAAGAGCATTATGTTTAAAAGAAATAGGATAAAGGCAGAACAATGCATACAGTATCCTTACAAAGAAGGCCTGTATGAAGAAGCTAATGGCAAACCATTTCCAAGAAAACAATGTGTTTGTGATAAAAGATTCTCTTATCTCGAATTCTTTGCAGGTCTCCATGGAAATGAAAGCCTTTAATGTTACTATCTCTGGTGTAAACCCAGCAGCATCCTACATGGTTCGCCTTAGATGCATACCCAAGAATAACCACTGTTCTGTTTGTCTTTGGACAGAAGAAACTAGTATTCCATATAGTGAGTGTCATGTTGTGTAATTGATAAGACAACACTACTGTATTGATGAAATTCAAAGTTTTACTTGTTATTTTATGAAAGAGTTGCTGTGCATTCGTTCTGAAATGACACTTGACATACTATTTGTCTTTTCACAGAGCTTACCAAAAAGCCTACAATTTTGAAAAATATAACTAAAGAGATCTCACCAGGAAAAAGAAGTTTCTTTCTTACATGGGAGGTATATTTTCATTTTCATAATAATTTATTACCTCAATAGTAGCAACTGTGAGAGGAATCTTGGAGTCTTAGTGGACAACCATTTAAATATGAGCAAGCAGTGTGCAGCAGCTGCCAAAAAAAGCCAACACAGTTCTAGGCTGCATAAATAGAAGGATAGAATCAAGATCACGTGAAGTGTTAATACCAGTAGTGGGTTGCCCCCAGTTCGGACTGGTTCACAAGAACTGGTAGTAAAACTGGTGGGAGGCTCCGCCCACTGCCTCAGATGTCGTCATAGGCGATCTGAGCATGCACAGAAGCTTCTGGCATGTGCAGAAACTCGGCGTGCACGTGAGTGAAGCAAGCGCGTGTGCGCGATCCCATTGCAAACTGGTAGTAAAGGTAAGTAGAACCCACCCCTCATTAATATCACTTTATAATGCCTTGGTAAGGCCACACTTGGAATACAGTTTTGGTCACCACGATGTAAAAAAGATGTTGAGACGTTAGAAAGAGTGCAGAGAAAAGCAACAAAGATGATTAGGGGACTGGAGGCTAAAACATATAAAGAACGGTTGCAGGAACTGAGTATGTCTAGTTTGATGAAAAGAAGGACTAGGGGAGACATGATAGCAGTGTTCCAATATCTCAGGGGCTGCCACAAAGAAGAGGGAGTCAAGCTATTCTCCAAAGTACCTGAGGGTAGGACAAGAAGCAATGGGTGGAAACAAATCAAGGAGAGAAGCAACTTAGAACTAAGGAGAAATTTCCTGACAATTAATCAGTGGAACAACTTGCCTCCAGAAGTTGTAAATGCCCCAACACTGGAAGTTTTTAAGAAGATGTTGGATAACCATTTGTGAAGTGGTGTAGGGTTTCCTGCCTAAGCAGGGGGTTGGACTAGAAGACCTCCAAAGTCCCTTCCAACTCTGTTATTCTATTCTATTCCTTTTCTTGTCCTCTCACCCCATATAGCTTAAGAAAATACACATGAATGTTTTCTCTTTGCTCATTAAAAACCCTCAAGAAAATATGTTAAAATCAGTCCCTTAGATCAATCATTCTTGGTTTGCGTAACCATAGCTTCCCTGACATCTGAATTAGAAAACTAAGTTTTAGAAGGTTTAAGATTGAAAGATGAGAGGAAACCCACATTCACATCATTTGTTTCCTATCCAAGAAACTGGTTTTTTTTTTGTTTTGTTTTTTTAAATTTGACTTATATGCCACCCCTCTCCAGAGACTCATGGCGGCTTACAATGTGCTCAGCAATAGCCTTCATCCTTTTGTATATTTATACAAAGTCAGCTTATTGCCCCCACAACTGGGTCCTCAATTTACCTATCTTAGAAAGGATGGAAAGCTGAGTCAACCTTGAGCCTTGGTGAGATTTGAACCCGCAGTAATTGCAGGCAGCTGGTCTTAATAACCAGCTTAATAACAGGGTGCCTTAGACCACTGTACTACCAAGGCTCTACCAAGGTTAATTACGCCTTCTTCTATAAAGGCATAGAAATATTAAATAATACGGCAGTCAGATAATTAAATATAGCCAAGAAAAAATGATAATGGAAAAACGTCTAATGAAGTCATGGTTAATTATATTTGTCAATGAAAACTAAATTACATAATTTATTTGGATTACTTTTGCATTATTTACAAATTTAACTCTATGTATAATATTACTGTTGTGCTTAATTGTTCAGTGCTAGTATTTATCTGCCCTAGACTTATGAAAGCAAGCATACCATTGGATATTTCATACATATTAAGAGAATTCTTGACTCCTTCCATGGAATAACATATCTCAACATAAAGAAAACGTGCCTGCATCTGAATCTCTCAATGGCAGCATACGATATTAAAATCACTGCCTATAATGAACACGGAAGCTCATCCTCAATGACATACAGGGTTCCAGATTTCGTATCAACATATTCAGGTAAAATAGTTTCTTAAAAGAACATTAAGAAAAACTTTCCATTTGCATTTTAAGTTTCAGATAACAAACTATGGAATATCATTTTTTTTAAAATGCTGTCTTGCCTCAGGTTTTTCTGTTTTATTATCTTCAAATTCATGGAATAATACAACATAGAATTCAATAAGTTTAGATCCTGTCGCATTAGTACATCATGTGATGCTCAAATCATAGCATACAATATTGCATATTTTATTCCATTTGTATCCTTATTTTCAGCTTATTCTGTAGGAAAAAATATAGATTTTTCCCATGTGAGAGGTTAAGAGTGAGTTTTCTTTGAAGAATATTCTCTTACTTATTAACATTTCTACTTATTCTTACAGATTTACCTGGTCATCTCATTATTTCAAATTGGCAAAATTATACTATTATAACCTGGAATCTAAAATATAACCCTGATTGCCTGGCTATTGATTGGGGCACTGGAATAGAAGACATGAAATCTAAAAGTTTATGTCAAAATGAAACAAACGTAATACTTGGTAATGTCATCTTTATAATATGTTAAAAGTAGAATGTTGTTTTCATTTTAAGAAACCACGTTAAAAATGAGTTTATAGTTCTGTTTGGGTTTGCAGAGTTTTATAAATGCATATAAAAAGAGCAACAATAATGACTGAAATGGAAATATGAACTTCCAACTGCATCAAAAAAAAGTCACTGAATGTTAGAATTGCTCTGCATTCTGGTATAAGTGTAGATTTCAACCACAATCTAACATAGAATTAGATATGCTTAAACCAAGGGTGGGCTTCAAAAATGTTAGCAAGGAGGCCTTGCCACCCGCCAGTTGCTGGGTGGGTGTGGCCATGGTGGGCGTGACCTACTCAGTCTCCTGCACCATGGCAGGGGGGTGTTTTTGCCCTCCCCGGGCTCCAGAGGCTTTCCTTCAGCCTCCAGGAGGGCAAAAGTGGCCTCCCCAGGCTCCGGAGGCCCTCGGGAGCTTCCTGAACTTCTGGTAGACCCATTTTTCGCCCTCCCCGAACCTCCGCGTGGACCCTGCACTTACCTGCATCCAAAACAGGCCTCATGGAGACTCCTGGGAAGGGAAGGGGCGGGCCAGCCAGGAGTGGGATTTGGGGGTTCTCCGAACTGCACAGATTCTTAGCTAGAGGTTCTCCCGAACCCCTGCGAACCCCCAACAGCTCACCCCTGGCTTAAACCAATTGATATCAAATGTCTATTGTGACCTAAGAAGCCTGCTTTCAAATCTGGGTCTTTACTTTACTGGACTGAGGTATTTGTTGGACTGTAGATTAAGTTTTGTCAACTAACCAGAAAACAGGGCAGTTAGCATAATCTTAATCCCTTAACAGCAAATGCAAATTTAAAGCAGAATATTTAAAATACTGCAGAAATTGAGTACAGAACACCTTAATCCCCCTTGTGGAACTTCTGTGCACTTTCAGTGAGACTTGCACAGTGAGACTTTCAAATAATGCTAAGTGAATATATTAAGAAAACTGCATTATTCTTAGCAATAGCAATAGTGCCAAAAGCATGACATCCAAAAAGAGAACTGAGAGATTTTTAATGAGAAAAAAAAAGGAATAAAATCCTGTAAACATAATAAAATCATTTTCTCTCCTGGAATTTCATGAGTCTTTGGGTAGATTCTTTGCTGAAGTCAAGCACTCTACATCCACTCTACATTAACTAAAGTGGTCACTCTCAAAAAAGAAGGTCAGACAGATTTGACATCACTTATTTTAAATCAATCAATGCAGTCTCCTGCCAGGCAAGGCATTATTATTAAAATACTCACAGAGTGCTTATTAATTAAGGACCAGGGGAGACATGATAGCAGTGTTCAAATACTTGAGGGGCTGCCACAGAGAGGAGAGGGTCAAGCTATTTTCCAAGGCACCTGAAGGCCAGACAAGGAATAATGGATGGAAACTGAAGAAGGAGAGATTCTACCTGAAAAAAAGAGAAATTTTCTGACAGTGAGAACAATCAACCAATTGCCTTCAGAAGTTGTGGGAGTTTCATCACTGGAGGCTTTCAAGAAGAGATTGGACTGCCATTTGTAGAAATGGTGTAGGGTCTCCTGCTTGGGTGGGGGGTTGGACTAGATGACCTACAAGGTTCCTTCCAACTATGTTAATTTGGTAATTTGTTCCAGAATTTTGCACAGTATCAAATTAGTTTACTCTTTAATCATCCAGGGCCTTCCCCCCTCCCCCCCCTTTTTTTTAAAGATAGGAACAATCTTTGTTGTCCAATTCCTTGGTGCTATGCCCATCTTCCATGATCATAGAAAAGGCCTCTGAAATTACATCCACAAGGTCCTTCAAATCTCTTGAATCCAGTTTTAGCAACAAACTCAGCATGTCAGCAGCTGCTCCTACACAATCTCTGTATTGGGTTGCCAGTCCTTCCTTTTCTCAATTGTTCTGCTTTAACCCAATTGAACCCAGTTCCTTTGGTGCAGCAATGCTACTTCTTAGCAGCTCCTTCAAGCTGTTTCTATTATTTGAATTTATACATTATCACTTTTACTGTCTTTGCTTCGGATGCAGATTAGCAGATTTATTTATCTACATTATTGTGTCTCATCTGTCTTTCACTGATAAGCAGTTCTCTTTTTTTTCTTAAATCATATTGTTTTCTTAATTGTATATTTCCCAAGTAATGAAATTTCTGTTACCTAGATCACCTCCAACCTTATCAGTTATATAAAGTAATGCTGCATGCATTGGACCGCCGAAGCAAGGACTTAATGAAAGATGAACGGACACTGGCAGTGGCCAACTTCTACGCAGTGGAAGGAGGTATTTTTACAGCACTTTCTCGCTTTGCTGAATGTTTGTCACTTTTAATGAATTCCATTCCAATCTCCTAATTATAGTGTTATAGTTTCGAGTGTTTGATTATATAAGAGGAGCCAGGCTTAAGGTATTTATAATGTAGTTTTTCAAGTGTTTCTATTGGTGTGCTTATTAATCTTGCAATTTTCTTCATCCTTTAATGCTGTTGAATGCATGTATATTATAAGTCAGTATGATAAAAGAATCTAAATAAATACTAAAATAGAAAATAATTGTAATAAACTGCAGGAATTGAATGACTCAGGGGAGGGGAGTTTCCTTTGGCTGCTTTATCAAGCACATTAATTTTTTTTCTGCACTAATCCAGTACATCAGCATACACATAAATTCTATCTGCTTTCCAGTTTCTGCCATGAAATACTGCAATGCAAATAGGGAATGAAATCTAGTGCAGCATTCCTCCTAGCAGAATTGCTTCTGTCAGCAGATTCAGGAAGACAGCAGTTCCCTTGCACACCTTCTATAATCCTCTTTCTGCATTTGCAAATTTTATTCGTTGGATTACTCAAAGCTCCAATGCAGATTTATTTTCTTTGACATCTATATTTCCCTGGATGTGGAGCTTTTTTAATATATCGTTTCCAATTTTAAACTTGTCTGTATATAGTTTTCAGCTTTCTTCAGACTTGACTTTTACAAACTTTTGATTGAGGAATACCAAAAGTTAAGACACCTTTTTAATGTTAACATTCATGTCGTATAAAAGTCAGTGAGGGTAGAAAACCCAAATTTGTTCCCCAAAGTTTTATAGCTTTGATAATGTGTAGAGTTGTTTTCTGAGCTTGGTTGTTTTCTTGCAGATGTTTCATTACCAAACTAGGTAGCATCATCAATGCTAAAAGGAGTGAGCTTTGTTTTCATTTTATATACTAGCAGATTGCCCTGTCAGTGTTTATGGGAGTGATCTTGGTGGTTGCTTCATTAGGCTGCTGTTTACTGTTTGTCTGAGTTGACAGTTCCTTGATTGTGGTATTGTTCACTTCTTGATTGTTGGTCTAGTGCTAATCTTGGTGTTAAATCTCTGTTCATCTGGATATTGATGGCTGGTGAGGAGGAATTTTGGTCTCCCCCCTCCCCCCCCCACTTTTTGGCTTTTTGATTGTCTCTTTTGAATGGTATATAGATGTTGTTTATCTCTATGGACATGTTGATGGTTGATTTGTTTCAGTGCCAGAATTCCAACAATTCTCTAGCATTTGGGGACTTTGCTTGGTCTAGGATAGACACAGTTTCCCAATTGAAATTATGGTTAAATCTGTCCAGTGCTGGGATCCTGCCGGTTTAACAATCAGTTCAGTGATCATGCACTTCACGTGTGCTGCGCATGTGTGTGCAGTTTTATGAAAACTTAGCTTCCGCATTACTGCTGGGGAGTAACACAGGGGCAACAATCCGCTCTGCCGTGCGAATCAGCTGAGAAGATATAGGTCAGTAAAGCTCAGGGACAGGTGGGCCCACCTGATTGTCAGAACTACCGGTTTGCCCGAACTAGTCCGAACCGGTAGAATCCCACCCTTGAATCTGTCCATGTGCTATGAAATTAAGGAGTTTTCATCATGTCTTCTGACTGCTAGTTGGTGTGTCATTGATGCGTTCTGCCAGTCTTCTTCCAGTTTGTCCTATGTAATGGGTGTTACAGTCCTTACATTATATGTTACATTGTGTGTTGTAGATGACTCGTTTTTTTCTTCTGGGACTGCTGGATGTTTTGGTTTACTTAGGCTGTTTGGGAGGGCTTTAGTTGTTTTACTGCTACGATGAGGCCATGTGCTTGTAATAGTCTGCTTATGTTTCTGAGTTGTTTTTGACGTATAGACAGTGTTATCCTTTTCACAGCTTGTGCTATATTGGCTTGAGTGGTCAGGCATTTTTTGATGAAGTTGCATGGGTATCCATTTTATTGGAAGATGCTGTACAGATTATCTGTTTCCTTTTTCTGATGTTCAGGGTTTCTCCAGTGTGTTTGTGTTTGTCTAAATAGTATTCTTGCACAGCTACTCTTGTAGGAGATTGGGTTGTTCCTTTGGTAATGGAGTACTTGAGTAGTTTTACGATAGACTTGTGTTTCTAATTTGCTATCACTGCCCTCTACTGACGAGGATTTGATGATGATTCTTTTACATCACCAATAATGACATACTGAAATGCTAAAGTTAGACCTTTTGTATTTTTATTTAATCCTTTATTTTTATTTAACCTTCCAATTTCAAGGATGACAACTCCATATTAACATTGGGTGGCTTAAAAATTAAAAATTAAAGAAAACAAAATATACCACGAGGAAAAAAAAAAGACAGGTACCAGAAACCAAAACCCCAAAAGTCAAACAGGCAATAATAAACCAAAGGGGTTACACCGCCATCACCCACATTCTAGCTCAGGGCAGGAGAAAACAGTATTTTAAGCAGTTTATGAAGTTCAGAAGGTGGGAGCAGGGCAAATAAATATTTTTGTTACAGTTGTGAAGCTCAATAGATGTTAATTTTATGAGTGTCTTCTATGAATTAATGCTAGAATGAAAATCGGATTGATTCACACACACACACAAAAAAAAAACAATACAGAGTCTAGCCCAATCGGTATGGCTATCTAGAAGGAATATGTCAAGTTTTATTCCATTATGAGTAATTGAAATTCATTTCTGTGACTCAGGAGGCTTCAAAAGTGCCAGACCACAAGTCCATTATTTCCAATGTGTGCTGACTCTTGATGGTGAGGGTTGCAGTGCAATTGATTTAAGAATAAATTCGGGACTCCTGAAGTATATTGATGTGATAGATAGGAGCTGTAACCAAGATTTTTTCTTTTGTATCAGTATTTTGCAAAGTCTAACAGCACCAGAATGTATACAATTGATCAAAATAATTTTGGAAAATGGAAAATTGATTTGGATGTTCTTTTTAAGTCCCCAGGATAGGTCCAACTAATGTAACAATTTCAGCAGTGACCAAACGTTCAGCTGTTGTGAATTGGACTGAGATACCTACAAAAGATTGCTTGGGTTTCCTTTTGGGATACAGAATTCACTACACAGAAGTCACAAACAGCATCTCTTGGGGTAATTTACTTCATTGCATGGACATAATTAATCAACAGATTTATTATATACCCACTCTGTAAACAAATGTGTTATTCAAAATGGAAAGTATTGAAGAAAGTATACCTTGTGTTTGGCATTACTGAAGTTTCCCTTCACCCAAATGAAATTTTTAAAATTAAGGAGGAAGAAGAGGATTAATTAAAACCCAAAAGGCAGGTGATATATAAATTGCTCCATAACTTCAGATTCTTATAAACTTCAGAGCCTTCAAAGTGCGTTAAGGCCTATTTGCAGGGGTGAAATGCTACCGGTTCGGACTGGTTTGGCCAAAGCGGTAGCGATAGCAGAGGATAGCTTGGAGAACTGGTAGCAATGGCAGCACAAGGCTCTGCCCATCCCCCCCCCTCGGTTGTTGTTACTTTCTGGTTTTAACCAGGAAGTAACATGTTTTTTACCCTCTGCACATGCGCAGAAGGGTTTGTGCATGCACAGAGGGTCCATGTGCGCAAGTGACGTGCGTGGCGCATGCACTTCCGAACTGGTATGGAAGGTAAGTAGATTTCACTCCTGCCTATTTGTCAGTTCTGTTGAGGACAATCCTGTAATGTAAACTCTTGCCTAAGGCCATTTGCTCATGTCAGATCAGAAGCAAAAGTTAAACTGAGAATTCCCAAATGTTCACTTGTCATGTTAGGGAAAGCTTAGTTAAACAGGATTAGTCCATCCCATAACTTTATAAAGTAGGATCAGCACAAGCCGCTGGAACTTGCAAGAAGTATTTGTGGATGTGTCAAGGAGCTGGATGCACTGTTGAATACATTGGGCATCCCTTGTAAAGATTCTCTACATCCTCTAAATTTTCTCACGATAAAAATAGAAAAGTTATATAAGGATCTGAAGACCTAAGGAAATATTCTATCAGCTTTTCCCAAGCTAGTATCCCCAGCTGTGTTGGAATGCAATAATTGAATTAACATCTGAAGGTCGTCAAAGGCCCCGGTAGAAAATAATTGTGTTTATTATTTTATATAATAATAAATGTATAAATGTATGTAATGTATATAATGTTATATATCTATGTAGAGGAAATTTAAAATGTGGTGCGATATATGTATGTATGTATGTATGTATGTATGTATGTATGTATGTATGTATGTATATTGTGGCTCAGAGTTTAATACAACTGCCTAACATGTAGGCAGCCCAAGTTCAAATCCAAGTAAGGGAATGACTAGCTGATGAGAGCTAAATAGCTTGAAATAGATCTATACTAGTCTCTCTTTATTTCTTTATCAGCGAAATATAAATTTGGTATAAATATATATATATATATATATATATATATATATATATATATATATATATATGTATATATAACATGTTTGCATGACAAGAAATAGATTTTCTTTAACTCAAACAATATTAGGCTCCTAATTTTTAAAGTTTCCTATAAAAGAGAGAGAGAAAAGGAAAGTCAACAGGCATGTATCACATCTATGCATTTTGATTTTGGAGGCAGCAGTGAGCACTGTTCATAATGACCCACATGCTGCAAATGCTTTACTATTCTGAAATAATATGAATCTTTTACTCCACTTCAATAAAATATTTAAGTGAAAAAATGCTTTTAACTTCAAACGCCAGAGAAAAAGATACTTAGAATCCATATACTGCAAGATATTCTCCTACAGAGCAGCATGATTAAATGTTAAAGGAGGGATTTGAAGTCTTTTCAGAAAGTAAGACATCATAGTTTAAATGCAGAAGAGCTGGTTCCCTTTAACTCTCCTTCATCTTTTTCTTTTATAAAGAAACCGGTTGTGAAATTAAAAGAACTCAGAGAGAGGAAAGATCGAAAGAGAAAAGAGAAGCAGCTGAGAGTTGGACAGGGTAAAAAGGGGAGAAAAAAAGGGAGGGTAATAAATATACCTAAACTAGAATTTAAAAAGAGATCTTGACAGTATCTTGCAGCCAGCTAAGAAATAATGGTATAGTACATAAAGCAGAGTGAAGTTCTGTTGATGGTCCTCTTTAAAGAGAATCCACATATATTGACTGCTCATATCATGTTATTTTACTATAATTATAGTAAATTTAATTTACTATAATTAATTATACTAATTGGTAAATTCTGTTGTTAAGTGATACAATCATGTCAAAACAGTCATAGGACCACCATGCTGCTTAGTGACAGTACTTCTGGCAGTTTTGATTGTCATAATTAAGCAAAGACTACACAGTTAAGTGACAACCTCCAATGATCACAACTTCTAACTTCTTGGCAGCCTCCCCATTAATTTACGGTAACTTCCCCTTTAAGACAGCTTGGAAAGTCACAAATCTTAATTACTTGACTGTGGGGATACCACAACCACCATTTATGAGGTTTGGTCATAATTGCCATCATTCATCCTTCAAATTTGAGTGGTTGCTAAATGGGTAGTCATTAAACAAGGACCATCTGTATTGCTAGGCAAAGTTTGAATTGTTCAAGATCATTTGATTCTATGTGTAAGTGGAGGCAAAATACAATAGCTTCTACACTACATAAGAAAGGTGCCATGTTATCAGGTAAAGTATATTAAGAGAAGAGACTGGGTCTATCACTGGTCAAACTTCAAGAGAAGAATTCTCCATTTATCATTTGAGGAAAGCATCACTGAAAGCTTAGAACAGTGTTGAATGAATTCTGGGAGTTGAAGTCCACCCGTCTTAAAGTTGCCAAGATTGAGAAACACTGGCTTAGAAGATACTTATCTATCACCCAAATACACTTATAATGAATTATTCCTCTCCTGGGATAGGTACAGCAACTATTATTCATAACATCTTAGTCCTTCCCTTCCCTTCCAGCTGTTACTCTCAATTCTTCAATGAAACAGCACCGCTTGGCTGATCTTAAGGCAAATACCCATTATACAGTCCACATTTCTGGCATCACTAGAAAGGGAGAAGGAGCTCAAAGCCAGCCTCAGGATTTTACTACCCTGAAATATGGTATTTTGATATTTTATTATTATGCATTTACTTATTATTACTTTTCATGTGTATTCTACTCTTTCGCATTAATATTACCCAGCTGTGTATCTAGTCAAATTAAGACTATCCACAGGACCAAGTTGTATTCCATATTGACCCAGCAGAAATGGCCAACCTTTTCAGTGCCAACAATGGGCACAGCTCTCCCTCCTAATCAATTACTGGGCCATAAATAACTGCATATATTAGATCCTTGATAGAGAAAACAGTTATCTTACCAGTGGAACATTTTTTACCAAAAAGGCTAATTCCCTAGAATGGTGTTTCTCAACTTTTTCTGTTGCTTATTTCTTTTTAGATCAAGGAGAATTTAAAGGAATGGTTGTTGGCCTCTGTCTTGGCCTCATAATAATTCCAGCTATTACTATCGCAATTTGTTCCTCAGTACTGAAACGGTAATTATATTTTCATGATCTAGAAATATTTTAATTGCTTTGCATGTTTTTATTCAAATTGTGGTAATTAGCAAACAAAAGCCACAGAAGCCAAAAGCGGTGCAAAACTTTTAAAGCCATGAACAAAAGAAAAATAGGGTTCTGCTCACCTCCTCAATGGACTTACCATTGCCTTGTTGTCCAGCTCTACAAAAGTTAAGAATTAAGTAACATTATTAACAGAATAACAAATGGTTGTCCAGGCCCTTCTTAAAGATCTCTAGTATTGGAGCACCCAGAACTTCTGAAGGCAAGTAGTTCCACTGGTTGATTGTTCTTACTGTCAGGAAGTTTCTCCTTAGTTCTAAGTTGTTTCTCTCTTTGTTCAGTTTCTATCCAGTGTTTTGCCTTCTGGTGCTTTGGAGAATAGGTTGACCTCTTCTTTGTGGCAACCCCTCAAATATTGAAACACTACTATCATGTCATCCCTATTCTTCTTTTCACTATACTAGACATACCCAATTTCTGCAAACATTCTTCATATGTTTTAGCTTTCAGACCCCTCCTGCAGTTATCTTTGTTGCTCTTTTCTATACTCTTTCCAGAGTCTCAACATCATTTTTATATTGTGGTGACCAAAATTGGATGCAATATTCCAAGTGTGGTCTTACCAAGGCCTTATAAATTGGTAGTATCACTTCTCGTGATCTTGATTATATCCCTCTGTTAACCCTCATCTGGGAATAAGCACTCAGAGGGATTAGTTAGGAGGAGTATACAGAAGCAAGTGCAATACAATGGGCAGGAGAAGGGCAGAGAGAAACCATTGCAAATGAACTGGTTCTAAAATCATGTGAAATCATTTCTCCCCTTTTCTTCTTCCTCTTCTGCATTTGCTTTGCAATTTCTCACTCAGAATGATGAGAAAAGCAGTAAGGATAACAGTAAGCATACTTTTTCCTTATTGAGGTCCTGCTAGGAAAAATGGGGGGGGGGAGCTTTTGATTCAGCACATTTAAGCTTCTGCCACCTCAATACATTTTGGGAGTTCTTCTTTTTGCACCCAGCGTGCCAGCAAAAATAAGGGCAAAGGCAATTATTGTGTTCCCATGAGAAAGCTTGCAAAGCTACATCAAATTCTTTACTGGCAGATTACAATCTTGTTTCTCAGAAACCATGGAATGCAGAATTTCCATAACCAGAAATGATAGTTCGTTTACTACTTGCAGTTTAAAAGAGAATGTAGACCAATAAAATGTAAAACTATTTTAACCCCTTGAATTATAAATGTTTTAATAAAACAGAAAATCATTGTCAGGGGTTTGATGATCAGGACACATTGACTAGCACAGAGCAAATAGGAAAACCATTATGAGCAATTGAATAGGATGGCGTTTGCCGGTAAGAAAATGCTGCGCAAAAAAGAATGAATCAAACAATTATTTAAAAAATGAATGTTTGGTAATAAACATATTAATACATAAATCTCACCATCCTGACAATTCTTAGCTCCCACAACTTTTGCTGTGTCTGTGTGATGGATTATACAGGGGGGGGAAATCCTATATGCTTAAATAGTGTATTTCATGCAATTTTAGCTAGGAGTTACTTTTACAAACTGCACCAAATTGCACAAATTGATATTTGCAGCATGTAAATTGCACCTGCTAGTTGGTTTTTCTCAGATAAGCCCATTCTAAATGCTTTGGTCAAAAGGTCATTTCTGCCAGGTGCTCAGCTGTATCTCCTGCTAACACTGAATTCATTATGAAACTTGCTCAGCTGTATATCTTATTAACACTGAACTCATTATGTAACTTGCAAGATTAGGTTTTTAAGAACTAAACACAATTTTCATGTTTTCAACAATATTTGGACTTTCAGATCAAGAAAATTTTGCTGGCCACCTGTCCCAAATCCGAGAGATAGCCGTGCTATGCAAGTTGCAGAAAGAACTTTTCCAGTGGTATGATTCTTTTAAGCATTTTAGCATTTAATATTATGGACTTGTCCCCCATTATTAAATAGCATAATTGTTTATGTATAGAATGCCTTTCCACTGTTGTATTTGAACCAACATACTGTTGGGTTTTTGCTGTCTGCACTCTCATCTTTTATAGTTCTAGAACAGGGGTGTCAAACTCAAGGCCCGGGAGCTATGGGGTGCTTAGATCTGGTCTGTGGGGCCGTTCTGGAAACAGCGAAGGACAGGCTCATGGTGCCTCTGATAGTGAAAACGGAGCTCGGAAGGGCCGCATGTGGTCCTCCTGAGCTCCATTTTTGCTGGCAGAAGGTTGCAGGAGGTTGCAGCTGAAAATGGAGCTCAGAAGTCAGTTTTTGCTGGTAAAGCGCTTGGGCCACCACAGGTGCCCCGACAGAGTGACATTGAGCTGGCCACGCCAACTCTCACTCTGGCCATGCCCACCCCAGTCCCCCAAGGTCAAACCCAACCCTGATGTGGTCCTAAATGAAATTGAGTTTGACACCCTGGTCTAAACGTTGAACAGATCAGAGAATTATTTTGCTATTTTTAAGAAAGCTCTGTTGAGTTCCATTGATAGATCATCACATTTTCAAATTGATATGTGTAAAGTCAGATTAAATAATCAAGGTTTAACAAAGTTAATTCTCTGCCTGAACAGAATACCATACTACTTTAATTCAATCTGCATTTCTTAATTCTGTGTACTATCTTCTATATACAATACATTTCCAAATAAACTAGGAAATGGCTGGCATGTAAATTAAGAAAAGAAAAAGAAAGAAAATGCTACTGAAACTTCAATAGAGAGAGAGCTAGCAATAGCACTTAGATTTATATACCACTTCACAGTGCTTTACAGTACTCTCTAAGCAGTTTACAGAGTCAGCATATTGCCCCCAACAATCTGGGTCTTCATTTTACCAACCTCGGAAGGATGGACGGCTGAGTCAACTTTGAGCCAATGAGGATTGAACCTCTGGCAGCCAGCAGAATTAACCTGCAGTATTGCATTCTCCCCACTGCAACCACAGCTCTTGTAATAACAGATAATATGACAATACAAAAAGTTTACAAAAAGTTTTTCATCAGTATTACCGTACTATAATTTGTACAAAGAATCTAATATCCTTGTGTAGAAAATAGATGAATATTTTAAAAAATATTAGAGAAACAGATTATGATTAGTACTATAACAGTGAAAGAGGTTTCCTATAAAAAAAAGTTTAAACTGGACAAAGGAATAGTTGTCAATTCCTAAATAGGTCAATCATATGAATCTGCCACCTCTGAATAAATTGATCTCTACTCTCTAATTGCCAACCAACATAGCTAATGGATATGTTGGTTAGGAATGTTGTGCCCTGCAGTCCAGCACAACTGGATCTTATTAGGTCTGTCACCTTGCAATGTCATACCATGATTAATTAATCACAGTAAAAGTAATTTTGTCAATTTGTTTATTAATTTTACTTTAGGAATTAATATCTTTAATCCTGATATTGGCATAAGAAATTAAGGCTGTGTTTGCACAATACTTACCCGTGGTTAATTTAACTCTTATGCTCAATTAGTCCAATGTTCTGGGCCTGCACAGGATCTAATTACCCAAACGGACTGGTAAGGTTGTCCGGTTTGTGGCTTAGGGTCTAGGACTTTTAGTCTCTGACTCTTCATTTTCCTCGGGCGTTTCTCCTCCAGCGATTCTCCCCCAATTTATCTCCTCAACTGGCACGCCTCCAGTCATTTGCCCTGGGGAATGGGCCACCGGCCCCTGCGTCCCACACCCTTCGACAGACCCATTTGCAGAAAGAGGGTTCATCCTGGATGTTCTGCCCTCTGCGACAGTTAGCCACCAACCGATTGCTAGAGGGGGTGTAATAGAAATCCAGCGAAAGGAGAGAGGTGTAAAAGAATTTGCCAAAATGCCTTCCTTCCTTCCTTTCTTCCTTCCCATTCCGGTGGCTTAATATGTTGCTTGAATACAGTGACAAGTTGTTTTCTTTTCCACTTCATTGTATATACAGGCTCTCCTGAGACCCAGCTTACAACCATTGCTTCCTTCAGCACCACTGAACGAAGCTGATAAGCTTTATGTGATAAAGGATGATTTGGAAGCATTTCCTCCAACAAGTCCAGCAACTGGGAGAGTTTCCACGGAGTATTCTGAAGCAGTTGTACGGGAAAAGGAAGTAACACTTCCCAAGCCTCATAACAGAGTAAATGCCAGTGAGAAGGCAAAGGCAGGCCTTCACCTTGATTATATTGGTATGGAATTCAGTCACAAAGCCATGCAGCAGCTTTCAGAGAATCTGCCTATGAAAAAGGTCCATCTCTAACAGGAGTTGTCCAAAACCTCAGGAAGCAAAGAAGAATCACCGGTATCTTGCTGTTCTTGAGATCCTGTGAGGTAAAGCTGATGATGCTTCAGGCAGTAAGCCGATCGTCAGAAAGTATATCAAAATATGAGCAAAAGCCTCTTATCACTAGATGGAGGAAATGTAATTAGAATTCATATTGGCATAAGTAGCAATTGTTTGATAGATTATAATCAGACAATCTTATTGAAATTATTTCATTATATTTCATATATCATTGGGAAGGATCTAATTATAATACATCTGAGTTTAAGCTCCACCATACAATTATATTAATTTCTACTATGGGAATTTAATTATTTTTAAGCCTAATGATTTTTTACTTGAAGCAATTCAGCACTATATTTCTAGAGGGATGTTGTGAGATATTGAAGCCATCCCTCCCTAGTTTAAAGGCATTGGCACTATCTTGGTCCATTCTTTGCACATGCTTTTTTCTAATGTACGTTATGCCCAATGTTTTTCACACTGCAGTTCTATTTGTAGCAATGTAGCAAAAAAGCTATTTTCAAATTGTGCTATTCAAGTTGTCAAAGCTTGAACAATTTCAATTAACGTAACAGTAGTCTGAAATAAAGGCCACATTGCTTTTGATCCCTGTATTACTTTATATGAAGGTAAACAAATGCTAACAGAAATTAATATATCAAATACCTGTATTAATATTTTTGCAATGAACCATACTGTCTTTTTTAGCTAAGCTTACCAATTGTTCGTTCCTGAAGCTCTCTCGATATGAATAAAGTCACTTATTAGTTAATATTTACCAATCAAAAGAATTCATGCTATTTGGAAGTGGCTTGATAGCAGAATGTGTGGTAAGGCAGTGGAAATTAAAACCAGTACAGTATTTTTCATGCTTTCGAGTTTAACTCCCCTACTCCTCCGTTGTGTTATGACTTTATCTTTGATGGCAGTGTGGAATAATTATTTATATTGCTAGAACTCTTGGAAGTGTAAGGTAAATCGCCAGCTTAATTGTTCTAACATGTTTCAAAGTCCCATAAGGATCTAAAACTACCTTCTATTCCCAGTACCTTGTCAGCAACATTTAGCAAAGTTAGCTTCTTTGGCACCTGTGCTCTTTCCACATTAACTCAAGATGCTATGGCAGGCCACAAGGTCATCATACCCACCCATTGTACAATCCTTGTTATCTCCAAATCCGTCATGTCTGTATCTGACATTAAAGACAAGATTATTCTACAACCTTGATCTACACATTTGTGGTTATAATGCATGAGGCAGAAAGATAGGCTGTGTCCTTGCTAACAATTTTATGGAAATTTTAAAAAAGTAAATTCAACTTGATAACTTATGTGTTTTAAACTGACAGCATTATACTGTACTATACAAGACCTTTTTGTCACATTGAAATAAATTTGTATACTTTGGGGTTTGTTTTACAATTGTTCCCAGTTTTGTAGTCTTGTGCAGTCTTTCTCTTCCTCGTCTTTGCTCTACATCTTCCTGTTGCCACCACCACCCTTCCCACAACTGCAATTTTAGTGTTCAAAATCTACGGGAGGAATCTGAGCCCTCAGGAAAAATTGTAGAAGAAAAAAATCATGCAAACACTGGCTACGGTATTCTTCAATTTGGTGCAATATTTTGCATAAGGAAATGTTTATGTATTCCTGTGGAACTACACAGAAACAAAAAGAAAGTGTCTCGATGATCTGATGCAATTTCAACAGGGATTTTATTGTAGACTCACACAACCTTAATCTATTCAGCTACTACATTAACTAATTTTAAATTGATCCTAATCGAAGACTCACTAGGCCAACTATAACCATCTCAGCCTCTGCTTGTAAATTAAAGTGATACCATCTTTGGCAATATATGAAAAAAAAACTTGGAACATTTGAGGAACATAAAGTACTGGCCATTACTTTAGACTAAAAAGTTATAAACTTTTAATACGTATCTCCTCTGTGTTCCATCTTTTTTACTTTGCTATGTACCAAGGCAAACCAAAGTATCCACGTAACGAAATGCAGCTATTGTAGTAAATGATAATCAATTTCAAGGCAGTTTTAAAAAGCAAATCAAAACTACTTCCCTCTAAAATACTAAAATTTATTAGTGATGGTACCAAAGATAGCAAGTATACAATCTTTGCTCTATGCTACTTACACATCATAAATATGACAGCTGCTGTTCCAAGACACAATCTTTCACAGTCCTTCAAGAAGCATGAGGTTTGTCATTGCTTTATCGGAATAAGCTGTTTGCGAGCCAACTTCATGTGGCATAAACATCACAAAATTACTGTCCATACTTTACATGGTAAAGCATTTACTAAAGGTTTTTTGAAGAAAAAAACTTTAGACTGTAACAAAAAAACAAAAACACCTCACCCAACAATGAGCTACTAAAGCAGTGTCGCAATCTAAGGGCTCTATTATCTTATAGCTTTCACTTTATCATAAATACTCACCTATCTGTCTGTAAACAGAAATATTGAGAACACAAACTGAAAGCTATATGACTATTTGGCTTTTCATACCTCTTTTCAGTGCTATAAGGCCATATGATTGCATTACATTGTATTCAAATAGTTCTTTATTTTACAGTACAACCCTTTGCTTAAAATTTTAAAAGGCAGCAATGAGGCCAGAATTAGTTGCACTCATATGCTTTTTTCTTTCAGATCTTTATTGAACAGAACAGAAATCTTAATTTCTTTACTTGTGATAGAAAGTATAGAGATAACTTCTTACATTTAGCCCTTAAGATACATGCTTTTAAAGGGAGCTTTCTATGTTCCAGGCTGTTGAGAAGTAAATTACTTTTATTTAGCACTATTCAACTCCCTGGTTCAATATATGATCAGAAAAATGTATGGATTAACTGGATCATGCCCACCTTTTTATGGTCGCTAAACAGCAATTAGATTAGGTAGGGTTGTTGTTGTTTTTTTACTTGAAATCAAGAGATCTTCAAATTATTTCAAATAACTAATGGTTGATATGAAAATGCTTTCAAATGCTTGCCTACTGGTGTGATAGAATCATCAAAGAGGAACTCAAACAGAGAATTTTTTAAAAAAACCTCTTATGTTACTAGAAATCACTATTCTCTGTGTCAAAGGCACTAAAGCATCCGCTTGTGCTCTACATCTCCATTAAAAAGTAAAAATTAATCTTTCTGTTTCTGTTCTATTTGCAAGTGACTAGGCACCCTGTAATACAACTCAAGACAAAGTCAGTTGTTTGGAATTACTACATAGATGTGCTTATAATTGGAAGAATGGAACTCTAGTATAAACATGGATCTTCTTTTTAGAATCAGAACATTAGCATGCATTGATCAACTACTAGTTAAGAGAAGAATTTTAGACTTACGTTGTAAAGTATGTTTTTAAAAATATAAAAAGAAAGTCACAAACAACATAGGAAGAATCTTCACTTGCCTTTGTGGGCATAAACACAACGGTAAAACTGTGTTAGGTTAAAACTTTTCATCACTTGTAATTTACAACATCAAGGGAAATATGTTTATTTCTGCACCATTTTCAAGCACATCATCAAAACATATCACATGTTTAGTTTAGTTTTAAAACCATAAGAAAAACAAAATTTATCAATCTACAAATATTTTAACAACTTCCAAATGCATCCCCTCGGTAGCTTTTCAGGATAGTACAGACTGCAACCACCTAGTATTTTATCATCAATGAAATACATTTATTTTGGAAGATTTGACCATTGCTGTTTGCTTTTGTCACACCATATCCTATTGGTCAGTCCTGCTTCTTTGTCAGTCCTCAAACTGACCAAACCACCAAGGCTGGAATAGCTGCTAGCAGAATTTGGTATGTCCAGTTGATTGCTTAATATTTTTTATCCTCTTTTGATGTATTTTGGAGATCAGACAAAAAGTTTTGTATTTCTTTTCCAAAATGGGTCAAATGTCCATTCAACATTCTACACATCTTCAGTTTTAACTGAGATTGTTTCTTCATTTGGTTGACAGTTCCCATTCTGTTGTTCAATTTCTGCTGCAATTGTCTCCTCTTCCTCTGCTGCTTTATTGATCTCAGAATTTTGATTCTCTTTACTGAGATCTTTATCCTTTGTAAACAAAGAAAAAATATTTAAAAGGCAATAAATAAAAAATACACAACAAATTTATCTACAGTATTTTTTGGACTGAAGACACACTTTCCCCCCCTCCCCCCAAAAAAGATAAAAATCTGGGTGCGTCTTATAGTCCGAATGTAGCCCCTCCCACCCACCGGCCCCCACCCTTTGGCCTCTGCCTCCCAGCAATTTACTTCCTTGCAGCAAGCAGCAAACAGCTCATTTCAGCTTCAGCACAGCCTAATTAGCACAAGCAGTTGATTGTCAATTGGATTGGCCTCCCGACCCTCAGCTGTTTCAGGCTGCAGGGATTGCCATTGCCTATTGCCGCGCGGGCCTCCTGCAAGCAGACAAATTGCTGGGAGGCAGATTTTTTTTTCTTGTGCTAATCAGGCTGAAAATGAAACTAAAGCAGGCTGTTTGCTGTAAGGCAAATTACTGGGAGACAGAGGCAGAGTTATTGTGAGTGTTTTATGAGTCTTACTTTCTTCTTTGTGTCCTTTTGTTGTAAAATTTCTGTCTAGAATCAACAATTAGCTGGAATTTAAAAAGCATTTCACTAATTTAATTAAAATGTTACCTGAAGGAAAATAAAGAGGGGAACATCTAACAGATTGCGTGCTGAATAACTTACTGATTCTGATTACAGTACCAATCTATGCAAAGAAAAAAACTTAAAAACAGTTCCAAACTGGTAAAATTTCATATTATTTCCCATATTCATGCACTAGCGTATATCTTGTTTTCCTCTCCAAAAAAGGTAGGTGCATCTTATAGTCCGGAGCATCTTATATTCCGAAAAATACGGTAATTGATTTTTGAGGGCATGCACGGTCCCTCTCATTACTCCAAAATTTGAATTTTAAAAGTGTATAAAAATGAAAATAATAATAATAATCTCCATGTAAACCATATGGGACAAAAAAGAACAATAGTCAATCTAAATGGAAAGGAGGGAACCCAAATGCACACAATTCGTGATTACAAGGATCTGAACAAAGTAATAATTAGACACCATTATCCACTCCCATTTATCTCAGATCTACTAGACCAGTTGTTGTTGTTGTTGTTGTTGTTGTTGTTGTTGTTGTTATTATTTTATTTCTATACCGCCCTTCTCCTGCGGGACTCAGGGCGGTGTACAGCCAAGATAAAACATTGCATATAAAATTTAAAAACAATTTAAAAAACAAATAATTTCGGCCCAAGATATTAAAAACAACCCAATCAAAACCAAATTCAATTAAAACTGAGAGGATGGGATCAAGCCAGCCCAGCTAGATGGAATAGGTGTGTTTTCAGGGCCCGACGAAAAGTCTGGAGGTCTGATATGGTGCGTATCTCAGGGGGTAGGTCATTCCAGAGGGCGGGTGCTGCCACAGAGAAGGCTCTCCCCCTGGGGGTCGCCAGCCGACACTGTCTGGCCGACGGCACCCTGAGGAGGCCCTCTCTGTGCGAGCAAACCGGTCGGTGGGAGGCTATTGGCGGCAGAAGGCGGTCTCGCAGATAACCCGGCCCTAAGCCATGGAGCGCTTTAAAGGTGGTCACCAACACCTTGAAGCACACCCGGAAGACCACAGGAAGCCAGTGCAGCTCACGCAGGAGAGGTGTCATATGTGAGCGCCCCGTCGCTCCCATAATCTCCCGCGCGGCCGCATTCTGGACTAACTGTAGCCTCCGGGTGTACCCCAAGGGGAGCCCCATGTAGAGAGCATTGCAGTAATCCAGGCGGGAAGTGACGAGTGCTTGAGTGACTGTGCGTAGGGAGTCCCGATCCAGAAAGGGGCGCAACTGGCGTATCAGGCGAACCTGATAAAAATCCCCCCTGGCCACGGCCGTCATGTGCTCTTCTAAAGACAGCTGTGGATCCAGGAGGACGCCTAAGTTGCGAGCCCTCTCCGTGGGGGCCAGTGATTTGCCCCCAATAGCCAGCGATGACACCAGCTGGCTATATCGGGACGCCGGAAGCCACAGCCACTCGGTCTTGGAAGGGTTGAGTGGGAGCCTGTTTCTCCCCATCCAGGCCCGCACGGCCTCCAGACACTGGGACATCACTTCAAGGGCATCATTGGGGTGGCCTGGGGTGGAGATGTACAGCTGAGTATCATCAGCGTACTGATGGAACTCCACCCCAAAGCCACGGATGATCTCACCCAGCGGCTTTACATAAATGTTGAACAGAAGGGGCGAGAGGACCGACCCTTGTGGCACCCCACACGCAAGGCGCCTCGGGGTCGACCGCTGCCCCCCTGTCAACACAGATTGCGACCGGTCTGAGAGGTAGGAGGAGAACCACCGCAG